GATAATGGCGGTAGAATAGGTGGCAGTGAGAGAAGATGGACACGAACTGGAATCGTGTTGTTTCAAGAGCATTCCCTGGCGCCCCTCATTCGCGACAGCTGACCTGGTTGAATTTTTAACCAGCGGAAATCCTGTGGTGTGTGTTTCCGCCCATTCTTGAATTCGCATTTTTTTTTCAACACACACTCGTCGGTGTGGGCTCTTTTATGCCGAAATTTACATTCTCTAATTTTACATTTCAACTCGGAACTCGGTTTATTATTTTGCTAAATGCCGATTCGGCGCAATTTTTAGTTCCAAATCGCGCGCTTGCTTCTGAGTCTGAGTAAATTTTTTCGTGAAGGTCAACTTCCCGAACCAATCACCGCTCGACCTTTCACCTAGCCAATCAGCCGAGGGCATGAGAAGGGACAGGTGGTTAATTATGCTAGCGAAGCGGGCATGCCTGCGATTCATCTCATTGGCTAAACGACTCCAGCATCGTGTTCCCTTCTTGCCTCTTGCCTTGCGCGGTCTCTTATTAAACCGTTAATTTGGCTTGGTTAGTTAATTAAATTAATCAACATTGTCGAGATAGCAGTTAGAAAACAGCCTTTGTTTTAACTTCCTTTCGATGCGTGGGATTAAGAAGTTGACAAGTTCGCTACAAAACGTGTTGCTCGTTTGCCATGCTCAAAATTTCACACACTTTTTAACCCAATTGTTTGTGGAGATTTTCCTGCCGAAATTCCCAATTTCCCTCCTTAACCGATATCGAAAATTTGCAATTTTTGCCAAAATCAAAGCCCTGAGCCCCTTTTTGAATGAAGTCGAAATTGAAGTTGCTGGCACAATTTTGAGTTTCTTGAGACATTTATTTGTCGCTTCTCGTTAGAATCTATTTACATGGCCAATCTTCTCCTTAAACACTTATGCTGTCAAATTTAGACCAGTATTTTTGTATATTTTTTTCGTTTGTCCATGCCAATGCCTAAAATTACTGTCCTGCTAACACGTTATCAGTAGTGTTGTGTGTTCAACTCTTTGTTTGGAAAGCACGTTAAACAGACAGGCAAAACCGTCTAATGACCAGCAAACCAGCCAATTAGAGATCGAATTTACCAGCTCCTAAATCGTCACCAGTGAGAACAGTGTTCGTGAAAACGTTGAACATCGAGAAGCAGTGGGATCGAGCAAATCCCACCGGTTCTGTCGGGGACACTGTGATGCGATTTCGATTAATTGAATTTATTTCGATACAAGCACGCCGTCGCATGCCTTAATGCGTTCAAGAGATACGTGAACACTGAATTTACACCCTCCAACCGACTACCTGGCTTGATTGACCTCAAAATGCCAATCTTCCACCAACCCGCTTCTCGCTTCATCCTGCCACTTCGAGCCAATCCGATGCGCCTTGAAAAGTGATTGGTCAGCTGGATAGCCAATGGTTTCAGAGAACGCCGTTTTACAAGCCTCTTGCACACACTTAAACCACCCTCGATCAGCAAATGTCTGGAATAGCCGCGTACAGTGGATGTTAATGCTGCTGCTGACACTTCGTTTCTCCAAATTCATCCTTGCTCTGGCAAATGTCGTGTGTTTGTTGGCCAAACTGGACGAAAGCCAATTGGCTGATTTGTACGGTCTGGGCACGCACATCGCTAATCTATCGATTGATGAATCTGTGTACCGCATCGCCATTCTTGTGCCGTTTGACCCCACACTAGAGGATATTTCGGCTGCACCTCCACCAGACCAGGTATTTTGCTTGCTGGAATGTAGATAGGTAGTCGATCAACCACTCACCTGGTTAGTAGACAACAAGCCTGTTCAGGAACACATCATTATGTAGGTATTCTATGCCATTTAGTAGACTAAACCACCGGTGTAGTCATAGGCCTTTAGTTGATGAAGACGCAACTGGTGTCAATTTGCTTCAAGGACACGGGCGTAGCCACGTATCTTGCTCCAGCTCTGGATTACACAATTGACCACATTCGATCCCTCCCATTCGCCAACATTTTGCCCCACCTGGAGTTTCTCTGGGGCGACACCAAGTGCGATGTGTCGCCGACTCTGGAGCACGTCTTCCACTTCCTCATCGACGACCCAGTCCACGGTTTTATCGGCCCGGTGTGCACATTTCCACTGGCCTCAGCCTCGCGCATCATCGGCTCGCGGTTCAAACGTCCGCTCGTCACTTTCAGCGGTTTTGAGATTGACTTCGCCAACAAGACGCGCTATCCGCTGCTCACGCGTGTTGGCGGACATCATGCTTCCTTGAACGGTTTCCTCTACGCTGTGTTCACGCATTTTGGCTGGTTGCCGAGGCCCTACAAGAACATTGCTCTGCTGCATGTCCGTGTAGGTGAGGACACTGCCAACTCGACCCCAGGATCCACGCCGCAGACGGTTGCAGCGTCCGCATCGGCGTTCTACGCCGCCAAGGCCATCCTCTCTGGAGAGGGAATGGGAGGTTTCCGAGTTGAGGGCATCATTACTGATCACGATAACTCCGAAGACATGCTGGCGAGGCTGAAGCAGCTCTCCCTGTACGGACGTGGTAAGCGTGTGAGCGTCAAAGACTGCATGCGCACCTCGGTTGCGATTGGTCACTGGCGTGCTGACGGCGTACTTGTTCGTTCCACTAACCAATCGATTTTTTTCCTGGGTTCCACTCTACTGACTGGCTGGCAGAATTTTAATAAACACACGTTAATTTCACATCTGGTCGACATTTTTCGATTCCACCGCACACAACTTGTCTGTTAACAACAGTAGTGAATGCATTTTTCTAATCGAAGTTGATAATTGCTCCGAGAGATTGTCTGGTTGCATTCTCCTCCTTTTTTTCCGACTTAATCATTCGTTTTATAATGTGCTGTTTTCAAATCACTAAAGCCGATTGAGTCACCTCTCCCGTCAACAAACTAAGCTAATTTCTTGCTAGGCCGGGAGGTTTACTAACCCCACACAACTGGTCACATTTAATTCCCCACCCAGTAATTTGCGTTCAGACTGAGTAATTGGATCAGCCGGAGGGCCTGAGACATGGGGAGACAGCGCCTGCGCTCACCGCGACTTTTGCGTCGTCTTTTTAGTTGTGATCCTCTGCGCGGACCCCGAGGCCGTGCGTAAACTGATGCTCATCGCCTACGACCTCGGCTTCGTGAACGGCGACTACGTCTTCTTCAACATCGACCTTCTCAGCAGGTTGGTTGTGTGTTGCTCGCGTTTCTTTAAATCCTCCTTCAAAGTGCCACAGATCCATGTTCACGACGCCGCGGTAGACTTGTCGTGTACACATCTTTTCATCATCTCATTGAGTTATCGTCACTCCTTTTGCTTCCATCGATGTGAACGACTAAATAGAGGGATTCTGGGATCGGATTGGAAAGGAGAGTGGGAAGTTACGTGTGTTGTTAGGTGTGCACGTGTGGATACCTACCCCTGTGCTTTTGTGAGTGTGTCTGAAAGAGTTCACTCAAATTAGTGTGTTTTTTGGGACGTGGACCTCTATGCCTGTGTTTTCAGGTGTCCTGGGGTGCGTGAACGTCACCAGGGTCGAATCCGGGTCGTGGAGCAAATTCATTTTAGATAGTTTTTCGTCAAATTATCCCTCCCCTAACTTCCCCTTTACACCGATTGGGTCTATTTGCTAAAATAACCGCCCACATATTTCGAGTTATGCGTGAAGACGTTGATACCCGCGATTCACAACAGCTCTCCTCCTTAACGAGAAGATTTGGCGAACTTTTCGTCCGCTGGAGTTTCTGAAAGGTAGGCTGTAGGTTTCTGCAGTCGAATGTGGTCCATGTGAATGTAGAAATGAGGCGGATTGTCATACGTTGAAGGTAACTAAAACACTTGGCATCGTTGTTCGTTTTCGTTAGTCTTTCGAGATGAATCGTTGTTGTCGATACAACCTTTTCTACCATTTGGACATCTGAAAGGTTGATCGTTGGAGAAGCCGTGCATGATGCCGAATCGCGAGATCGATGACGTTTTTCGATCTGGTTGACAGTCGAGAACCAGGGGACAGAACCGGTCGAAAATTCCTGCTGGATGAGCGTCAGAAGTCGAGGCCATTGAAAGTCGAGAAATGCGACCATGATGATTAATAGAGAGACAAGATGGATGAGGTCGGGTTGCAAAAAAGAGAGAGATTTGTGCTAATAGAAATGGAAGGATTGTCGCAGAACGATGGGTAGCCCCTGCCAGGGGATGGGAGTCGAAGGGCATCGTCCAGAGTTTAGCAGCATCCGGAGAATTGTGGCTAAAAATGAATCCTCATTGAGCGATAAGACGGAATCATACTAATAGGTTGCCAAACGTCAGCACAACAAAGGTCGATGTTTCGGACACCAACTCTCACCCCCGCGCTTCTCTTTCCGTTATCAGCTCCGAGCAACAGGCGCGACCGTGGTACCGGCCGAATGCCCCCCCTGAGGAGAATCGGAAGGCACGGGAGGCGTATCGCGTCCTGATGACGGTGACACTGCGGAAGCCCGACACGGTGGAGTACCTGGAATTCGCACACGAGGTGCAGCGGCGCGCCAAAGCCGACTACAACTACTCCTACGCCTCGAACGAGGTGCGTGTCTCGGCAGCCCTTCTCTTTTTTTCTGCAACTCCGCCTACTTTTTCTCCTAGTTGACCTTTAAGGTCGCGTCTAATGCCTTCGCGTGTGCAAGTGGGCTTGTTAAACGAAACAGGAACATGTCCTGACATGTGTGTATGTGTGTGTGGCTGTAAGGACACGTCGCGGGCATTGACTGACGTCGGTCGTAAAGTATTGGTTATTCACATTGTGGTGACGTCCATAGCTTTCCCGCCCACATTTAACTCCTCCCATCACGCCTTAACCAGCTGTCGCCTTTTCGAAGTAAATTTTACCCCCAATGTTGTCATTGGTTCGAGGCATTATCGTGCTGTTTTCTGATTGGTTAGATAAACCCCTTTATTGGAGCCTTCCACGACGCGGTGCTGCTGTACGCCCTCGCTCTCAAGGACACGCTAGAGAGCGGTGGAAGCATCCTCAACGGCACCTTGCTCACCTACAAGATGCGCAATCGAACCTTCCAAGGTAGGTTCCATGCACCAACACACCGAAGCCACTCTGGCTGCGGTCTCGTTGTGGTCACCCCCTCGACTGCTTTGTTTCAGGCATCGCCGGCAACGTCAGCGTAGATGACAATGGCGACAGAAATGCCGATTACTCCCTCCTCGACATGAACCCTGAAACCGGCGACTTTGAGGTACTTTTTGTCCATTCACCCAATGAAAGCCTCTCACAGCTCGGCCAATCACGTGTCAATAAGGGGGAAAAGTCAGAATGTGATTGGTTAATTTTTGCTTGCAGACTTCTTGGTGGTTGAAATGATTTTGTTGGAGGATCAGCAGCTAGACGTGGGGCATAGCACTTAATGAGTGTGCGTTATTTGGAACAGGGACCAATCAGAATTGAGGTTGAGTAGCTGTTTCACCAATCAGCTTGAGACAAGTGAAGGAGGTCACATTCAAGCAGCCATTGTCTTTTCCCTAGGTTGTAGGCAATTACTTTGGCAACGCCAAAAAGTATTCTCCCGTGCACACAAAGACCATAGACTGGGCCAATCCGGAGAACGCTCCGCCGCCCGACACCCCGCCGTGCGGGTTCGATGGAACACGGTGTGAACGCAACGGTGAGTTGGCGTTTGTTGGTCGAGCCTGTAGCCAATCACAGTCCGAGCATATTTGAAATCATCTACCTCTTCATTTCCACAGACATGATTCGGATCAGTATTGGCGTCGTCATCACCCTACTCGTCCTCGTCATCAGTGTCATAGTCGGCGGAGTGATTTTGTACAGGTGCGTCACGGTTTTGGCGTCTTTAACTCGTGAATTTGCACACTTGACTAACAAATGTGTTCTTGACACGACGTAGACGAGCTCGTTTCAAGGCGGAGCTGCGAGCAATGAACTGGATCATCCCGTGGGAGGCCTTGGATCCGCTGAGTAACCGAGGTCGCCACCACCGCCGAAATTCCCTGGGCTACGTGAACCAGAAGTCGGCCGCTGTGAGCCGCGGCAACGCCGTGCCAACTGTCGACAAGTCCGTCGTCTTCCACGTCGAGGCGTCTCCATTCACCCAGGCGGAGAGTCAGCATCTTCTTGAGGCCGGCGAGAAGGGAGACGCTTGCGCCAGTGGCGACGTCCACACTACCGCCGACGGCGGCAACGGCGCCGCTTCGGCCATCGCTAAAGTGACCTTCGAGTCGCAGGCACCAACGTCTCCGAAGAAGAAGCGTTCTCACGCGGGTGGGGTGCGCGGCATGTTCAGGATGAGCGGTGCGGAGTCGCATTCACCGCCGCCGACGCCCCAGGTCATGGACGAGTCGTACTCCGGTAGTGTGAGCAACTGGTGGCGCCGTCAGCAGCGCTGGTCGCGCAAAAGCGAGGTGCCCAGCCAGGAGGACTCCAACTCGGGCGCGTCGGGAAACGGCGGTGGCGGCGGCGGTGGATGGATGGAATGGCTCGGCGGAAGTGGAGCGGCCATTCGCAAGAAGAGCGTCAACGAGTTCCCGCAAATGAGCGAGAAACGACGCCGCAAGTCCAGCTCCAAGCGCTCCAAGCCGAGGCGGAAGAAGTCGTCGTTTGTGTGGGAAGGCGGAATGGGCAACCACAAACCCGTGGTAAGCTGGCCTGCTATTCGCGATTGGCTCGACGACCCGAGCACCAATCAGATTTCGGCGCCCCGTGATTGGTCAGTTCGCGTGTTATTGAAATGCCCCTCTCTTTTCTGGTTTCTTCTCCAAATAGAGACGAAGTGAGTCCGTCGAATCGCACGAGAGTTGCTCATCAGTCGACACAATCTCTGGCACGCCGTTCGACTTACGCACGGATCAGCACACATTCAGCTTCACCACCATCTACAAGGGGAATGTCGTGGCTCTGAAGTCCCTGCCTTACCACCGAGTCGAACTCACCAATGAGCTGCTGGCTGAGGTTAACCGCGTGAGTGAAACCCAAGTCAAAGCATGTTGCACTACTTATAAACTAATGAGTACGTAGAATCTCTGTGACGTTTGGCTGTAGGTGAAGGACCTCAACTACGACCACATCTGCCACTTCGTTGGGGCCTGCATCGAGCCGCAGCATCTGTGCCTGGTCTACGAGTACTGTCCGAAGGGCAGTCTTGCGGACGTGTTGGAGGACGAGCAGATCAAGCTGGATTGGATGTTCAAGTTCTCGCTGATGCAGGACATCTGCCGAGTGAGTTGTATGCCAGCAGTGGAGCCCTTCCCGATGTCGTAAGCTGACGCTAACCACTTTTGTCTCCACGGCTTCAGGGCATGATCTACCTGCACCACAATCTGGGTCCCCACGGCAAGCTGAAGAGCTCCAACTGCCTCGTCGATTCGCGCTTCAGTCTCAAGATTACCGACTTTGGACTGCACCTTCTACGCGGACCCACGCCTTCGTCTGTTGTGGACTCGCCCAAGTACTTCAGGGGTACGTCGATTAACCAGCCAATGGGGCAGCAGTAAATAACCGAAACCACATATGTCCGTGCTACTGATATCTATTCAGTAGGTGGGGTTGACGTTTGCGTGCATTCTTTAGATCAACTGTGGACTGCGCCCGAGTTACTGAGAGAGTACTCCTTTCATGGCGACTTGCGCGGTACTCTCAAGGGTGATGTTTACAGCTTCGCCATCGTGTGTCAGGAGATAATCTACCGAAAGGGCGTCTTTTACCGGCCCGACATTCAGGATCCAAAGGTGAGTGCTTACAAATGCACAAATAACTTGCTACTATCAAATACCTAGTAGCATGTGTTTTGTTAATTATCATAGATGATCGTGGAACGCGTGAAGATGAATCCACCCTTCCGGCCGTTGCTCGAAGTCTCTGAAGGCTGCACGGAGGACCTAGTTCACCTGGTGGAGAGCGCTTGGACCGAGGAGCCCAATATGCGACCGGAATTCACCAATATCAAGATGACGATGCGCAAATTTAACGAGTGAGTTTGAGCCTTTATCTGCTGCCGCTGGTCTCTGGAGGTTTGTTGGCCTTTTTGAGTCACTGCGACGTGTGTTTGAATTTGCAGGAGTGGGGATACTGGCAATTTGCTGGACAACCTCCTCTCGCGTATGGAACAGTACGCCAACAATCTGGAAGACCTCGTCGCGGAACGGACTGACCAGTACCTGATTGAGAAGAAGAAAGTCGAGGAATTGCTCTACTCCATCCTGCCAAAGTGAGTGGTTACGGACTCGAACCTGGGACGCTCGTGGTCTGCATGAAAATCTGTTGATTGTATTGCGGTGACTAGCCAATAAAGGAGTCACCTTGAATGGGCCAATCAAATTAGTGTGTGTGCATTTGTAGGTCAGTGGCGAGTCATCTGAGAAGGGAGTGAGTGAGTGGTTACGGACTCGAACCTGGGACGCGCATAATCTGCTATAAAACCAGTTAATTGTAATTTAGTAATCTTGGTATAATGTATAACGCACACCGGTGATTAGCCAATGAAGAAGTCACCTTGAATGGGCCAATCAAATTGACGTGTGTGTGCATTTGTAGGTCGGTGGCGAGTCAGCTGATACGCAAGCAGCCAGTGAAAGCTGAGAGCTTCGATTCGGTGACTATCTACTTCAGCGACATCGTCGAGTTCACATCGCTGTCGGCAGATTCAACGGCGATTGAGGTTCGTTTTGTGGTGATTTTGTTGTCCTGCACTTCCGACGATTTGATTGGCTGGCATTGTGATGTGTTGGCAGGTCGTGGAGCTGCTCAATCGCCTCTACACCCTCTTCGACTCGATCATTGAGCGCTTTGACGTGTACAAGGTGGAGACCATCGGCGACGCCTACATGGTCGCGTCGGGCTTGCCTCAGCGCAATGGCAATCAACACGCCAAGGAGGTGGCTCGAATGGCGATCGAGTTCCTCAAGGTCATGGCCACGTTCATCATCCCTCACAGGCCCGGCCGCGAGCTAAAACTGCGCATCGGAATCCACTCGGGTAGGTCGGCTTCGTTTTATTCATCGGCCATTGTCACCCCCTCTACCTCAACCACCACCACCTCCGCAAAAACCTTCACCTCTGCCATCATCTCCACCACCTTCGCCGCCACCACCACCATCACCTTTACCACCACCTCTGTCACCACATTCGCCACAATCACCACCACCTCCACCACCGCCTCTGCTGCTACCACCACCATTACATTCGCCGCACCACCTTTACCACCACCCCCACCACCTCAGTCACCACTTTCGCCACCACGATCACCACTATCACCACCCCCACTACCATCTCCACCACCTGCACTACCACCTCCATCTTCGCCACCGCCACGTCCTCCATCACCGCCTCAGCCACGTCTGTCACCACCACCTCTGTCACCACCTTCGCCACCACGACATCACCACCCCAATCACTACCCCCACTACCATCTCCAACATCATCACCACCTCCACCAATATCTCCACCACCTTCGCCGCACCACCTCTGCTGCTACTATCACTAAAAAACCATTCTGTTCGGCTACTTTTATTCTTCTCTCTTGTCCCTGATCACCAGGTCCTGTCTGCGCGGGCGTTGTGGGTGTGAAGATGCCGCGGTACTGTCTGTTTGGCGACACAGTGAACACGTCTTCTCGCATGGAGAGCAATGGTGAACGTGAGTGCGCCATTCACTACCTTTTGCGATTCTGAGGTTAATTTTTTGCGTACCTTTCGTGTGCCACCTTGCAGCCAAGCGGATTCACATCAGCCGAACGACGATGTCGATACTACGCACTTTCGGCACCTTCATCATGTCTAAGAGAGGACTCGTCGAGATGAAGGTTCGTCCTGAGTTGTGTGTGTTTGTGTGTGGCTGCCGGCTTGTAAGGTCTGTGTGCAAGCATTTCGTGGTACCTCTTTAGGGCAAAGGAAAGATGGAGACGTATTGGCTGCACGGCGAGTACAACGACATCGTCTATCCGCCCGATCCCGGAGCCATCCTGGTTGAAAACGATCCACTTCTAGTCAACGAACCCCCCCACCACTCAGGAGACACCCTTCCGCCGCTGCCGACGACAAGCAGCGTCGACAACCATCTTCCACACAACACCAAAGCGCCATCCACTCCGGCAAACACCGTGGTTGTTGTACCCGACGAGGCGCCTTCGACGTCGAAGTCCGGTGCGACATCCAGCATCGTTTGACCGTCCCGACTTCCATCCTGCCTTCTCAACAGAGACTCCTCACTCCGCTGAGGCCCCCCTCCCCCCTCCCACACACCAGATCCGCCTCGTTTGCTTCCCCGAACCCGATATTTTGTACGACATGTTGATGCTCGAGACAGATACACACACACCACGAGCCACAACCACCCCAAATCTACTTCATTATATACATACACACATATATTGCCAATTTTGCGACAGTCCTACTTTTGTACGCCCATTCACCCACCCGAACACGCGAGTGAGGAATGAACACCGACAGAAGAACGCGCGTCAGTTGTCGCGCGGTGAAGCCTTTACGTGGTGCCGTTTCGTCCGCACATGCGCACACGCAAACACCTTTTCCCCTCCCACCTCCTCGATTTCCATCCGTGACGAGGTGTCACGTTGCGTTGCGTCTGTGTGCGCGCCGTGAACCAAGCTGCTATGTGTAAAATATTGTCAATGATGATGATGATGATGCTAGCCAGTAATGCTATTAAGAATGCTATTGATAATTTGTGAGAGCGCTGCTTTTGTGTCTGACTTGGGGGAGTGTGGCGTGAGGCTGCCGTTTGGGACCTCGTGTGCATGATGAATCGGCTTAGCATGAGAACCAATGGTTGTGGGTGATCGGGCACTTCGTAATCCACAAACCTCCACTCAAGCATAGCATCTTCATCTAGTTTATTTAAAGGAATGCAAAATTCAACGCATATGTGAGTTTTGGCGCTGAGGCCGCAGCAAAACATAGGCACAAACACGGGCTGTAGGAGGGTAAGAAGGGGGAGAGTAGGGGGTAACGGAATTCCTTAAGCACATCTTCACACGCATGTGAGAGTGCGTGCGTGCGTGTGTGTGTGTGGGTATTTATGAGTGCGGTGGATGGACAGGAAAGCCGCACAGAGACGCAACAACAGCGAGGAGTGTGGGGCGGTTTCCGTGCTTATCACGAGAGCGGGTTGAGCAAAACACTTCTCTTGTTGGGACTGGATGGGCGGTCAGGAGGGCATGGTGGCGAAGGCTCGAACTGGGCAGCTGCCAAGCACCCACACCTAATAGAAGGCTCCTTTTATCTCGGCGACACTCTTGAGAATGTAGTTGTGACTGGTTCGGAGGTTGCTGTTGTGCGCTACCTCGATCCACTTGACGTTCTCCTCCGCTACGCCCTCCGAAAATACCTTGTTAAAAATGTGTGAAGATGAGAGCCAAACCAACAGTCTACCTTATTTGAAAACACCACCCATGGGGAGGCAGCACAGCCACAGCCTAACCATCGAACAGCATTAAATTAGATTTGGACTTAAGGACAACTTTTAAACCATTAATCACAGCCTTGTATGTTTGCAAACGTCTCAGATTTGTCATAGGCCACACTAGTAACGCTTTTAGCTACTAGCGAAATTGCCCGCTATACTTTATTAGCACTTGACAATTTCTGCGCTTTCTTGAGGTCGAAATTGTGTTGTGTGTCAGAAATATGTGGTCGGCAGCTTCTTATATATAAAGGGTTGTTTATGTACCCAAACAAAACTATTCAAAATTTTATTGCGTGTTCGGGAATGTCAAAGAAATTTATTAGCAACAAATATTTAAACAAGACTGAATAATACCACGTCAGTTAAGTAGACAAACGAAGTTACCTCAAAAATCCTTTTACATATCGCTTACATTTCGAAAAAAGAAACTGCTATATAAAACGAATACGTCATCGGCTGAATTACGAATTCATACTTAAAATCGACGAACACTTTCTATTCTGAAATGCTTCATGACTGGAGGTGAAACTTGAAAATTACGCTCACTTAATAAGCTAAACCACATTCTAAGAAAGCGAAAAATCCAAACCTTAATCTTCGGGAAACATTTTGAAGCTGCTAAAGTAAGCCAATTCGTCGACTGTTCGACAATAAAAAAAAACATTTGACATTTTTTCTTTGTGCATTATAAAGAAAATACCTACTGAGAAGCATGTGCATTTTTTGTACTATAACTCACAAATATTTTTTTTATGCATTAATGTACATGCGTCACTCCTATGTGTTGGCAAGCATTGTGCAATCCGCTATTTACATTTTATACTATTCTTAAGTCAACATAATAATTAAAATTCACTTAGTAAGCAGGCATGTATGGCAACATTGCCAGATAGTAGCTATTTAAACCCTAAAAATATTATATGCATCAAAAAGCGTTAGGGTTAAAAACTTAATTTTAAATGCATGATAATGCTAGAAACTAAAACGTCGATGTGTAAAAACCTAGGTAACCCCCTAAATCCATTGACTTTATAGATAAAATTTGAAGCTTTTTAATAATTTAGAAAAAGTCTTCTACTGGTAATAACTTCAACCATTTTTTTTTAATTACAAGTTGTGTTTTAACCTACTACGTTTAATGTCAAAAGGTGGTAACCCGATTCAATATTCTTTTCCCTCAGGGTTGTAGTTATTCTTTACATTTTACAACTTTTTTAGGTGAAATCTAAGCAAATTTTTGCACACATACACAAAATATCTTTATGTCTGTGGTGTTTTTTGACATTTAGTGACGTTTCTAATTACGCTAACCCGTGGTCATTTTTGATTTTCATCAAGCTGTTACTTCCATTCTTTAACACCTTGACGTGTACATTGTGCCTTAGATTTTTAAATAAACTGATTTCACTTGTTTATTTTCAGGTCTTAATCTAATTAAAACCAGTATTAGTTCTGCAATAATTATAACGCTATGTTTACTGCTTAATTTGACCAGCTCAATAATGTGAATGTGCCGGACAACCACCTAGTTAGTTAGGTTTCATTTCTGCCAATGATTTTTGAGTAACTTAATTTTAAACGGGTTAGTATGATCATATTTGACCGTCTACAATGGTGTAGATGTAGGAAGCTGGTCGACACCTCCTACCTTTAGGATGTCGTCAGTGAGCTGCGAGCCTTTGCCTTCGCCCTCGTGGTAGTTGAGCACCACCGTTTCCAGCCAACCACCGTCAGCATTCAACTGGTCGTCAAGGTAGCCCTTGAATATCTGAAGTAGAATCAACAAAAACTTTAACCTTTTTTCAGAATGTTTACGTGAGCATTGGTGTGGTATTTATTAACCTTATCTAAGAAGATTTGAGCACTACTCTGAAACAATACAGGAATATGTGTTTTCTGATAGATTATGCAAAAAAGATTCATTTTGCTATTTAAAAATAGTCACTGACGGTACATAATTTTAACTTAAATACCAGCGTTTTTTGTAACTGCAGTAAAGACGTTGGAATTGCTCACGCGTGACCAATTCCCTGAGCTAATAAGCAGAAAGCTAAATTCATTTTGGGTCAAATCAAACTAATTTCATCCTGCAAAACTGTGGCATATTGAATTGTTTGAGTCTGAAATACTGTAGCTCCGGTTGCGCAGTTTAGTCACATTCAATCTCAGAGAATCACACCAAGAAAAAGGCAGAACTGCATGTGTTGGTCTTTATGCCGTCCTTGGGCTAGTAACAGCAAACACTACGGTTACTTAAATTTACCTGAGTAGTATCTGCCTTGTCGAGTCTTCGCAGGAGGCGATCACCTCGTTTCTCGGAGCAAACGGCTTTGGCGCGTTGAACGAAGAAAGCGTGCACCAGCGCGGGTACACATTCGTCAAAATCACATCGCATTTCATGATCAGTGAAGAACTATTGCAACAGAGAGACACAAAATCCTTTTTCCATCACGTTTTGCTCACCCGCTTTTGTTAAAAGCAATCTTGTTACATTTGATGGACTTACCCAGGGCAAACAAAACCGTTTGTTGCGTTCCAAAGCGACAACCTGTAAAACGCCCTTGTTTCCACGCAGAACTGGGGTGCCTGACTTGGGGTTTCGGCTCCACCGCGTGACCACAATGACTATAGAATGGTTTGGGCCCCAGCGAGGTAGAAGACCCTTTCCCAGCAAACCGGTTCTGCCCATCGGGTTCAACGGTGCCCCGGTGTTGGGGTCCAGACGGTACCTTCCAAGCAGACTCTGGCGTCGGATATGGTTCTTGGAGTCGTAGGTATTGAAGGGGATGCCACGCAAGATGGCCGAGCTGCCAAAGCTCACACCATGTTGGAAACTAACCCAAGAGACAAAACAGAGGTAACGACCAATCAGAAGTCTCGGCCAACGGTTCAACGTTACACGATAGGTGAGATGGGAAACTCACTTTTCTCCATCGTGGGCGGCTTCATCGGGGTACATCACAGTCTCTTCTGATGAGTCGTAGGCGAAGTAATCGGGATATCGAGTCTAAAATTGAATAAATAAGGAAAAATTATCGGCTGATTTGGCAAGTTCTTTGGTTTGGAGGTGTGCGAACAGAATTCCTTGGCCTGTGTTCCGTTGAACCTATACTTCACCACCAACATATTCTTAAATAAAAAATTGTTTTTGATTAAAAATGTCGCCTTCAACTGGCGGACCCCCAACTCACAGTCCAGGCGGTTTTGTCCGGCGGCACATTCATCCGCATGCCGGGATATTTCTCAAAGTTGAAGGGCGCGAACCTCCAGAGTCGGTGGCCGGCGATGCTGCGTTGGATCGTGCGTCCGGTGTTCACGTCGGCCGCAGGAGGCACCTGGACGGGGTCAGCTGACGGGTCACCGCCAACCTCCTCGGTTCCACTCGATTCGCCCTCTGAACCAGGCGCACCCGCGGTGATGGGGATGTCTTGTTCTCTGAAACGTGTGTGCAACTGAACTCAACGAAAGAGCAAAATCCATCGTGACTGTCCTTTATTCAAGAGATGAAATCTTAGGTATTTCGGTTGGAAAAAAATGTCACAATGTCCACAAACGAACGATTAAACATCCGATTTAAAAAAAACTAGCCAATGGCTTTTGTTCTTACCAGTGACACAGTCAAGACACAAAGAACCAATAACAGGGCAGCCTTGAAATTTCCTGAGAATGCGCCTTCGATCCCCAACACGCGTTGTAGTGCTACGCAATTGGTTAGCGCACTGCTTCCAGTAGCCAATAAGGCCTTGCCAGTTAGAGCGTGAAGATGATTGGTGATTCACTGGCGAATCACCAAGGGAACATTTATCACATTGAATCAGCGCAGGTTTTGCCCAAAGTTATTGATTTATTCATTCAACCTCGCCGCATTACCCAACAACTTGCTGGTTATCATTAGATCTTCTTCCTTTTTAAAAAAACAATCTAATTAATGACGTGTTTTCTGTCAGATTTCGTGAGTGAATTTCATTCCATAGGTGAACTTAATCTTCATCACGAAGATCTTGATGCTACAAATTGGAATGGTTTTGAAGTTCTATAATAAAATTCGTATTTTGTGAAACGCCTCGAAAATTCGTGAAAAGATGCATTTTTGTCGAAGTTTGGCAGACAACTTCAATGCCAAAATCATTATGATGTCACGCTAATCTGGCGCCTGCATTTGTCACCATATCGCGTAAAACTGACATTTGACAATCTGCAAGTTAACGAGACCAGAGAAAAAAAGAACTTTTTCTGGCAACCAACCAACCTGGGTGGCGGAGGAGCCATAGGGGGTGGTGGTGGAGGTGTTGGTGGTCGTAGCACGTCCTTGGCTGCCTCTAAAGCCGATTGCACGGCGACTTCAAGCTTTGTTCGCTTCTTCGAAGCCTCGCCCGCCTTTCCAGGGGAGGAACTGGCGTCGTCCACTAGTTCCAGACACTGACATGTCGGTAGGTCAGCGATCTTCTTCATTATCTACAACACACGCAACGCCGGGATCCCCGAGTCAGCTTAATTACGATTGGGTGACAAGACCCTTTCTTGGTCACGTGACACCTTCACCTGGTTTTGGCACTTACCGCCTCCTGAGTTGCCGTGACCTGCTTGACTACATCGCCAAGTGTTGACAGTGTCTGTGTCACCTCGTTGAGCCGAGAGTCCACCTCATTGAAGCGCTGGAAGTGAGCGTCCAGATCCTTGAACCGCTTCTCCAACTCCATTCCAATGCCCTAAAAAGAGGTGGCATTGTCTGAAAGTCCACTCATAACGCACATGACGGAACACTTACAGTCTGCACCGCAAAAAATACAGCTTGGATTTACGAGTGTTTAAATTGCCATGGTGATTAGTAATTGTCGAAATAAGTGCTGGATTTGTCGTTCGCGGGCGTTCCAATTGTACACTGTGTTCAGACACTTGATATATTGCAGCTGTCTGGAGTCGTGTTAAGGCGAATTCTTCTCGACCCTACGACAGTAAGTGACTTATTAATAAGGCCCTGTTTTTTGTTGAATAAACCCCACTAATTGCCTTCCAGCGAAAGTCACAAATATGGCTAATGCCTCATACTACTGGCCGATTAGATAGTAGAGAGGTCCACTCTCACCTCAGTGACGGCCGTCATCTCACTCTTCAGATCCATAGCGGGTCCTGGTCCGATACCGCTGCCGGCACCGACACCCCGGAACACCACAGCTCTCGACTCGACTCCCCCGCGTTTGCCGCCTGACTTTGTCGAGGGTTCGCGCAGGTAGTCCATGGCCTTCATATGCTCCCACTTGACCATCTCGCGTTCTTTTTTCACATCCTTGAAGGTCACGCCTAAATGGGAACCACAGAACTTGAGAGAGCTTGCAACGGCGAACAGAAAATGTGCTGAGAAAATTAATAAACGGGAGGCTGAATCCAATTGGCTCATCTAAATCCAGAGCTCAACTTTAACCAATCAGGACGTTGAAATTAGGCACAGCGGTATCAGCCAACCAGAGGACAGATAATAAGTTGGGTTAACTTGAAGATTATCCCTCCAAATTTCCGGTATTGATTGTGGCCACCTGTGTATTGGTTCTTTTCTTTTGTGAAACAATTCGGTCTAATTTTTAACTGCCCAATTCAAATGTTGTACTCTCAAATGCCTCCTCATGCCATTGGCTACCTTGGAGATTACAGAAAATGGTACACAAATGGTACAATCAACGAACCACACGCACGCCACATTGCTTGAGAGCTATCTGAAGTACGTGGAACGATAACAAATTCATCAACCTATGGGATAGTGTGGTTAGAGTTGGTTCAGATGTACCCAGAAAGCAATTAAGCCTTCACCCGCCAATTTTGTAACAAAAGTATGCGCGTAATTTCGGCGCGTGTCAAATTGAAGCCCCAAATTTCAGTCACGAGGTCGTGATCAGGGCTATGGTAAGATTGCTATCAGCGGTAAACTTTTTCACTGATAACATAGACGGCCAGAAAATATGTAATTACTTGCGATTTAGTTTACTTCCCACACGCACACCGCTGGTCAAGCTTACATCGACCACGTTTTCACCGTATTGGCTCAATTCCCATTTTTAAATAAGCGGCCTACTTTAATTGGTCGGTAAGGCCATCGACTTACAGAAGGGATTGTTCTCGATTTGTTCGGTGCTTCGAATGCTTGCACATCGGTTGCCTATGGCTTGGTAGGCTTCGTAGAAATGCCAAAATATAATCAGCGGAGGCACTAGCGGTGAACGTCGCACATAGTCGGCGATCATTTGGTAGCGTTGATAATTCCAGTAGTAGGTAGACGCGCTTTCAATCTCTTCATACGTCTTTCTGAAGGATAAATACACGGAAGGGAATGACGGATTACCCATTAGAGCCTCATCTACGAATCTGTGTCTTGAGCCACTCACAACCAATGTGGTCTCTAAACAAACAAAGCCATGAAAACATCGATTTCCATTCACTGAAATCGTTTTACGAACACTTCATAATGACCTTGAGTTCAAATCTGGTTGATGACCTTGAGCAAGCCATTGGTTTGTGTTTTAATGAGGTGGACGATCAAACCTTTAACGCATTTGGCCGTGTATTATTGTCTAGGATATTGTTTAAAATGAAGTGAGGTGCGTTTCAAAGAAAGCATCACCCTGGACTCACGAGAACATCGCGATGAGGAGGTTAAACATGAGGATGTTGGTAAGAAGGACATAGAATCCAAGCATGATTGGAACCAACCACCTGGACGTCTTTGTTGGACACATTCCATTCTGGCAGTTTCGATCTTAACAAGGAAGGAAAGGTCATTTTGATTGGTCGACCAGCTACCAGCTAAAAACCTCAAGAATATCTCCCTCTGCTTGGTTAATGATTTAGATCTTGGATTACCTTCGCCTTGTAGGGTGTCCAGACTGAAGTCGCCGAACATCTGGAAGTAGGCTGTTGTGTACATTGAGAAGATGGTGTCAATAAATTTCATGCCTTGAACAGTTCCATCTAGAAAAATGGAAGTTGCAGGGTAGCAACAATCGTAAACTAGCTGAAGGAATTTGCACAGGCAATTTGATTGGCCAATAATAAGGGAAATGATGATGGTCTGATCGATGTTTTCAGATTCGGCGGAAAGACTTAACGCAAATCTTCACACATCGCTCAATTAACATCAATCATATTTGGAAACTGAACTCTGCTCATATCGACTTTCCATGGTCACACTTAGCGGTAAATCGATCAGTCGTGACAACAACCTATTGTAAATCAATATTTTGTGATCACAACTCATCTCAATAACTTGTGCCCAGAATCTATTACACACCATGCGCTCATGCTGATCGATCATCAAATATTGATTGCACGTGAACACACTTCATGCGCGTCAATGATTTTCTTCCGAAAAAGGTTACATGTGATCCGGCTTTGTGTCACTCTGATTACTTGTGATCACCCAAAGATCGATATCCTATTCAACACGTCAAACACAGACCCTTTTCGCATTCGTCTACAATCTGATTTGATTCGCACATTGTGCATTCAGAAGAACATGGCTCTGACAATGGTGAAATCTGATTGGAAGACACGATTATGGTGGCTAAAGGTCAGAGAG